GAGAATATTTCAGAAATGTTACTGCTGGATTCTCAGGTGGATTTTTTCTGGGCATTTTACAACAGCTCGTAGGAAAAGTTCCAGAAAATGTCTGGAGCAACTGACTCGGACATTTGGGTTCTCACATCGCATCTGGAAAATGTCAGGATTTCAGAACACTGTACTGCACATAGGCAGTATTAAGGAGACAGTTAAATGAACAAACAAAACAATGGATGGATTGATGGATATTGATATAGATTTTAGAATTATAGGTTAAAGAGATGTAACTTGGGTTTTTAATAACTGGACTGGATAGATGTCTCTTAAAAGTTAACTTCATTGTTCATTGTCTCATAAGAATTGATCTATTCTTACATAATTTTCACACAATATGTTTCTAAAAAACTACAAACTTCAGTCCTAGAATTTCCCATCACCCCAGCTGCTGTTCTCTCTCTCTCTCTCTCCCTCTCATACACACACACACACACACTATAGTTGAGCCGTCAGCTCACATGTTTATGTGATTTTATTTAGGAGTTGTGTTTCCTCAAAACAGCAGCTTTCCAAACTATATACATTTGACAACAAACCTCCCCACAGCACACTGCCTCCCCATCTACATCTCTTCATCTCTCTCTCCTCCTCACCACGTCTCTCTCTCTTTCTCTTCACTGTCCGACTCCTACGCTGCTGCGGCCCCAGTGTGCCACACATTATCATTTCAGAGAACACACACACAGCGCATACGCTGCAGCCCAGATGGGTAGCATGGTCTCTTTCCGACAGATGAATAGGTAAATATTTACCTTCCCAGATTGTCTTTCTTCCACGCTCATCCCTCCATCCCTCCACCCATCGCCTTTCTCTCACACCTCCGTGCCACACTCATCTGTTTGTTCCTTGCTGTCGTTTTTCAGGGTTCTTCTGTCCCAGTGGTCTCGCCTTCATCTTATCGTGGGGGCCTCTCACAGGCATCTGTTGTGCAAACACGCTTGCACACACATGCACATCTTTTGAATATATGATGAGGATGACTGTATGTGTATTGAATCATATACACACACATATATGAACATGTGAGGGCCTCCGCAAACAAAGAGTTGATAATAATTGTGCTGTAGACAATGGCATGTTTTATGAAGCTTAATTCAGCCTATTGAGGCAGATGGGGGACCGACTGTGTACTTATCTTGAGTTTTAATTAAATGACTTTAGTCTCTCATGAACACATTTTCCCTGTGTAAATGCTAGCACAGTCGGGTATCAGACTATGACTGTGGGAGGCAGGGATCCGTTCTCGATGCCTCCATGGGGCAGGAGAAGAAATGATAGGAACAGAGAACACAAACACGCCCTCTTTTTGATTTAGGGGCTTTAGGTGATGTACTGACTGCCTTCTGAAGCAGTGACAGGCATATGTTGTGCAAACAGGCTTGCATACACATGCACATCTTACATATATATATGTGTGTGTGTCGCTCAGAATTGTTTAAATATATAAAATCCTGAGCAACCCTTTCTTATACATACTTACATAAGATTATCTCAAGAAATGATTTCCTACTTTTTAGTTTAGATGAAACTAGTTTAGATGTTAATTGCAATGTCTTAGAGATGTTTCTTGTTCGTCTCCACAATTTATGTTTTTTGTTAAACAGTACTTCTGCTGATATAATTCTGAAATCAATATGTATCGATGGTGAGTCCTTCCCCAGCCTGACATACCAGATAATGTCTCATTTGATAGATCCTGTTCTGTTCTGCTCTGTTTATCTCCTCTCCACACACCAAAGAGACTAATCTTGCTCTGTCAGTATTTTTAGGTTACTTTGCTAACAGTTCTCTCAGTTTATCACTTAGGTCATTATCTTTAAACCTTTTTTTTTATATGTATTATCAGAAATGTCCATTTCCTTGCAGGAATTTACATTTATCTTACTACTGTTGTGCACATTTGAAATCAAAAGTCAATTAAAGCTCTAATTAACATTACATAGGTTGCATGAATATATACAGCTTTTGTGACATTTAAAAAAGCAATTTGATATAATTAAAAGGTAATTCTTAAAATGTGATGGGCTTCTTGGGTCAAAACAACAACATTCTCGACCGTTATTTATGTCCAGAACTTTGTGACAAAAGTTTGTTGAAGGTCAGACAAACAAAGCTGTTTCTCATCTTTGAAGTTTTAAAAATAGCCGTCTTCCTGTGTCGGTCTAATTGAAAGCAAGTTGAGCTAAAACCTAATCCTGTTTCTTTCTTGATTTTTTCCCTTTGTGCCTTTTTATCTTTGTGTGTCTCTATTTCTCACACTCTCCTGCTTTTGAAAGGTGAACAATAACAAGATACATTTCTCCTTTCTCATTTTTTTTATCTACCAAGGAGAGTATCAGTGTGGTTCTTGTCCATTAATATCCCACATCACACCTCCATCACTCTTAGATCAGAGGGAGACAGAGGTGTTAAAATCACGTCTGTGTGTCTGTGTGTGTGCGCGCGCAAGTTATTTTTCCGTGTTGGCCGCCACCTTAGGAAAATCCACAAAAGCCAATTCACACCAGTCTCTCTTCCTTCTCACATTATTCTATCTAGGTGTGTTAGTTTGCTTCCTTAGTACAAGACTGAAAAAGACACACCAGCTACATGCAGTGTATACTGTATATCCTTACCATTACCACCAAAGGGCCATAAGCAAATTAGATAAACAAGCCTCAGGGAGATGAGAATGACAGTTATCTATTAAGTCCAGAAAAAAAAGTGCTTATTTGTTTACATTTCCAATCTTATTCACCTTCCCTCACTATACTGTCATTAATAAAACAGCTTGAGGGAGCACATTATAGACATTTTATACTCATGATGAGAGAATTAAATAGCAATAAATAAATTATGTGATTTTATTCAAAATATATTTTATCCCTCAAGGAGACTAATGTATTTGACTAAACTTACTCACCTTCAAACCTGTTTTCACTCTGATGAAAGCAGTGTGGGTACACACAGTCAGAACCACAGCTCCGAAAAAAGTATTTTATTCCCATTTTCATTACACGTTGCTTGATTAATTATTGTTGGAGCCTACAGGCTTCAAGCAGTCCTTTGTTTACCCACCAAAGTGAAGGATTAAAAACATGTATTTTGAGTTCAGTACTCAGGGGGTTGAGAACCACGGCTTGAGGGCATCCCAAGAATTTAATTTTAATCACAAATAGCGAGTTATTCATTCATTTAGTCATTTAACTATTCCATGCTTAGATTTTTTTGTTTAGTCTTTAATTTATGTAGTTTTACTTTTCCATAGGGTAGTGGTCAGGCAGATCTGAGAGGTCAAGGATGCCTGTGCCTGCAGGCCAGTGGTTAATATTAATGACCATCAGCCAATTGGAACTCATCAATAGGTCAGAGGTTATCATAGGGTTGCAGATGCAGGAAGTTAATGTAATTAAAGATGCATCATGTTGTCGATTGCAGAGAAAGTGTCTCCTCTAGTCCTTATCTCAGTGTCTTTGTTGAGCTGTCTCTCGCTTTGCTGGTCTGTCATGTATGTTTGTGTATGTGTGTTTGTGTCTTGTTTTAATGTTTAACTTATTGTTAAGTGCTCGTAGTTATTTATTTATTTTATTTAATTGCTGGTTTTGCATTGCGTGTACACCTCTGCAGCAATGTGTCTTTACAGAGGTGTTTGTTTATCAATGTGTGAAGGAAGGAGGAGAGAGGGAGATTCAGGAATAAAGATAAAATAAGACAATGATCTTCCTTTTCCATTCCAACCAAAGGATTTTTCAGAATAAATCTGTCCATTTTATGTTTCTACTTATATCATGACTTCTTATTAAGACATTGCTCGCTAAATAACACATGACATATTATAAATTACATTGAGAGGCGCCAGTTTCCCTCCTATTCCACTGCATCTAGAGCTTTGATAGAAATCTTGTAATCGATATTGTAGCTCACTTGTATTGAGAATGATTTCCAATTAAATCTGTATTTGATACCTGTTCCAGTCTGACTTGACTCGAGCAAGAAGGCAATTGGAAAGCCAGCTTATGATAAAAAATTTGAAATCTCTGTTGGTCTTGTTCATTTTTTACATCATCGTATTACTAATTTTGCCCATTTATGATAATTGACAGCTACTGAATGTGTTTGAGATCAAGTCTCATCATTGAAAACATACGGCATCATATATTTCAATAGAAATGTAAAGTAGGTATCTGAAGATCCATGGTTTCCAGACAGATATCAGTGACTTAGTCCGGGAGTTCTTTTTATAAGCCATCCGAGTGCTGTCAATACAAACAAAATACATAAAACAAATCAATGCATCTATTCCCACACCCCACCAACTACAATTAATCCAATGAGCCAGTGGGTCAATAATCAATAGCTAACGATCGGCAGCAGAGGTTGCAAATCAGGTTTTGATTGGCTGAAAGAGTCAGTTGGGAAAGACTTTAACCTTCTGTACTGCTGCAGTGCTTCACATAGTTTTTCAAAGGCATTTGTCAATGATGGGAAAATGTCAGTGACTCACAAACTGTAGAGTAATTTTAGATAATTGATCTAAAAGTGAATTGAGGTTAATGAATGTCACACCGAACTGTACGATGTATGTTGTTTTGTTGTTTGTCTTTTTTATTATTAGATGTCCTCAAGAGATTTGTCTGGGGTGTAGGAGGTGGATATCCATGACTCTTTCTGATTGAATTACAAATAATCAAAAATTAATATTTAATGTGGAGTGTGAAGTGACGGATTGTGTGCAACCAAGTGCTGTAGCGTGGCTTCATGGTTTTTCTCTGGTGTTTTTTTTGCCTTAATATTAACTGTTATCCCTAGAAGGTCGAGGATCAGGCTTGCTATGTCCTCGCAACACCAGAAGTTAAACAGATGTTAAGCCTTTCTCATCCCAGCACCAGATGTTTTTAAAACATAATTTTACAGCAAGGAAATAACAACTTAAACATGTGAGCCTGAACGCCCGCCCTTCTCTCCTTCTGTCTCTCCCTTAGGGTCCCAGGTGTAACCATCGCTACTGATATAATCTGCGGTTTTCCTGGTGAGACAGAGGAAGACTTCCAGGAGACGGTAGATTTGGTGAAATGCTACAGATTCCCCAGTCTCTTCATCAACCAGTTCTACCCCCGACCTGGTACACCTGCTGCCAAGATGGAGCAAGTACCAGCACATGTGGTGAGTGTGGGACAAGGACAGAAAGAGACTCTTTGAATACAGTTTTAATCATTTAATATAAATTATATTACTTTATAATTATTTTAAGATGGACTAAGGTGGGGGCAAAACTAGCAGTCGTTTTAAAATTAAGTAGCAACAGCTGCAACTGTATAATAAGTAGGAAACATACTGAAAAGACATTTTTAATGACATGCATGTGTGTATGTGCTGTTTGTGTGTGGATACACTTTATTGCATGTGCACACAAACTTTCATGTGTGTATTGAGAAAACACAGACTAGCCTCCTGTCATCTGAAAATGTAAAAGCCTGTTCCAGTTCTGTCATGACTTCTGTATGAATTTTAATATTGCTAAGCCTGAAAGCCGTCAGAAGAGTGTGTGTGTGTGTGTGTGTGTGTGCAAAGGTGCGTGCGTGCGTGCCTGAGAACTGTGCGTAGAGTTACAGCGTCTCACTGTCCCCTCAAGACAGACAGATTGACACATACAGTCTTCATATGGAGGCATACAGTCTTAATGTGTCAGTGTTAAAGCCTTATTTAGCTTCTCTTTCTTTTAGAGTGTTTTATGTTTTGTTTGTGTATGTGAAAGTTCTGCAAAGTTAAAAAACCCAAATAGAGGAACCAGAGAAGCTCCTTTTTACGACAGGAAATTCTGCTCCTGAAGCTCTTAAAATGACTCATCAGCAGTCAGGCAGATTATGGACAATCAGACTGTATGAGGAAAGTGATGCATTAGAGCATGCAAACCTTTTCAAGTTATAACCCAAATCAAAATTATGACCCTGAATATGAGCTTTATATGTCTTTTTTGATTTAACACTGGGAGTGAACTGGAATCAGAAAGTCAAAATCTGTTTAAAGGAAATAACACTTTGTTGGGATGAACAAACACAAACTGACTACGAAAGAATAACATCTATCTTAGCCAACAGCTATAGCTCCTTAAATTAACATTATCCCAACAGCCAGAAAGAGCAGTGAAATCTTATATTCCATAAATAACTGACTGTGTATCTGAAACGAGAATTTTTTAGTATTTCACCACAGCATAAGTCAGACATTTCTCAACATCTAAAGGCCATTAGAGTAAGAGCTGTAACACATTGTGTCTTCATTATAACTTGTTATCCTCTGTATAACCATACAACTCCTGTAAGTCTCCCTCTCATCCTCTCTGTCCACTGCTAAATGAAATAATTAGTGGCTAATGAAGCAGTAATTGTTGGCAAAGGTGTCTGTGTGAGAGAGACAGACTGAACACTTCACCATCAGCAGCTCCAGCATTTTTCTTGACCTTTTGCTTCACAGGTTTCTCAGTTATATTATTGTGCACACAGTCATCTATAAATTCAATCAGAACAATAACTTTAATACTATGTATGAACATTGATACTTAAATTTGATATAACACTAAATTACCAAGCTCCTGCTTAATCAGCACTAACTTGACTTCATTCGTATGTTTTGCATTCACTGTCTATTGAATCTTAATGACACTTTTGCTACTTGTGCATTCTCCTGAAAAGTTTTTCTTTTTTTCCTCTTTGGTTTGACCTTTGCTGCCCGACACTATATGTTCTGTATCTTCTCACATTTGTGCCCCCACACTCTTTACCATCAAAGTGTTGACACATCTCTTTCAAGTGGAGCGTCTTCATAAGTCATTCTCTTTTTCCCTCCTCCCTCCTTCCTCTCTGAGGAGAAGCCGAGTGTGTCTTGGAGGGATCAATCCCCAGACAACCGCATCGCTGCTTCGCTTCTTCTTATCTTTCACCCCCTCCTCTCCTTTCTTTCTCCTCCATCTGTCTCATCCGACATTTATTGGATGTTTGCATGCATCTATCCAAGGCTTCATTCTGCAGGCAGCTCTGTAGCATATCAGAGCTGCCTGCAGTTTCTGTAGAAACCTTTTATTCTCATATCACCATTTTTTACATATGAAATAATATTGATAGCTAGTTTTTTCATATGAATGACTGCTAAATCTTTGATAAGAAAGGTGCCTTGATAACTTCACCAAAATAAGATATTCTTCTTCTTAATTTTGTCATCCTCCATTTTCACTGCTCATTCAGGATGAATTGACATGAATTGTGAGGATATTTGTTCTTGACAGATGATAGCAAAAGGTGAGAGAAGGAGTCAGAATAATATGTTAAAGTCCCTGTAACCACTACACCTGCTTTGGTGGTTAAAGCTGCACACAACATCACATCATCAGTCACCATGCACCTGTTCTTACACACACTCACACACACACTCAGTGAGTGGTGGCAGCTAGGCGATGTCTAGGGCATGTAGGGTCAGTCATTAATAAAGTGCACCAGATGGTTTGTCTGGAACACAACTGTGTTGAATAGCCACAGGAGGGATGGATGGAGGAGGAAGCAGAGACAGAAGGAGGCCTGAGACAAAGAGAGAGGGTATAGGTAAGGAAGGATGGAGGATAGGAAGCAGAGTAAGGAAAAGGGATGTGGGTGGAGGACATAGAGTGCTGTGGGCCCTAGAGGGGCTCCATCATCCTTAGAAATTTGACTGGCCACCATGAGTGCTCACTTACTAAATGTGGCAGCTCATCGGTTGTGAGAATGTCACTGATGGAGGCAGTGATCCTAAATCTTGAAAATGTTGACCTCAAAAGAAAAGTGTGGATATATTTATAAATTATTATCTTTGTTTTGTAAGAATGAATATAAGAAACATAAATATGTTGACACCAAGCTGTTTTTCTTGCCCTTATTCAAACATTATTTGTCAGTGGAGAATAAAATATTATTCAGGGTGTTAAAGTCAAATGATAAACTCATTTTGGGTCCTCGCAGCAGAAAACTTAAAGCACATGATTAACGTTTTATGAAGAACTAAATATTAGTGTGTATAAGTATTCTATTTTTTATTTTATTTTTTTACTCTGTGTTGCCAGGTTTTTTTCCACATCTGCCAGTATCAACACACTCTTCAAAGTGAAGTGTGGCATAAAAACATACACCCTTAGTCCAAATGTTTCTTCAATTGGTATACTGACATTTTTATTTTGATGTGTTTCATTAAAATATTGTTTTGCTTCACCAGTCGGATTTCCAGCCGTGACAAAAAAACCCATTTGAATAGATAACTACATAAAGAGATTTATCTCAATGAGTCGGTGAGTGAAGCAGAGAAAACACACAGTGTCCAGCTGCGACGACATCCAGGTGTTTTGTGCTATCTGTGGATCTAACTTATTAACTATGGTAATAGATGATGTATGAGAGAGCGCGGGACGAGGGGAGAGCAGAGGCAGATGTAAAGAATTGGAGACCACAGGGGTGGAGGGATGGAGAGAGGGAAGGGAACGCGTTGAGAATTAAGGGATGTGAATGCTATTAGCTTGGATCTTCATAATCATCCCCAGGTGACTAGAACTTAGCCTTGATAAATGGACTTGGTGAGTGGAGCGTGTGTACGTGTGTGTTGGGATGTCTATTGGTATGTAAGGAAGAGCTGAGAATGAGCAGCTGCAGGGGAGAAAGATAGAAAAAAAGTGATAAAGAAGGAGATTAGCTGTTCTAGTTGGGCAGTGTTTTTAATTTCCCCAGGTTGTAATTGGTTAAGAACTCCATTACCCACGAGGCACCAGTGCAGCAGCTGTCAACGTGAAACAGCTGGCCAGCCACTAGTAGCTCCATCTTCTAGCTGCACTATCATTTATCTACGCCTGGATGTACACACACAAACACTAGCATGGACACACACACACATAGACACAAACATGCAGCTCTCTTTGTTTCAGTTACTCCCTCACACACACTATCAGGGGAGATGCAACCGCTCGGCTAAAGGCAGTCTAACAGGTATTAAGGTTGAGTTAATGGTTAAGTTGCTGTCTGAGACCCGGTAGGTTTGCACATGATTAATGAGGACCTGGTCGGCTAATAATGGAAGGGATAACACACACTGCATTTTTAAAGATCGCAGAAGGGATAAACCCAACTGAGAATTTTGTCATTTGAATCAGATCTAACAAATATTGAAAAATAAGATCCTCTTTTCCTTGGAAACTATTCATTATTGAAGTGCTTTTAAATAAGATGATAGATCTGTCAAGTTACGCCTCCAAGCTTATGTGTTACAATTATGGTAAAGACACTGTGAGCTGTAAATGCACTACTTGTACGCACCAGGCAGAAGGTAATGTTATATCAGAGCTTAAAATGTCCCCAGATGTAGAATTAAATAATTCGTGAATAAATACTTGAATTGCAGCCAATTGACGGGTTCCAGCCTTTCAGGGGCAGCTCTACATCACAGTTTGTTTTTTGTTTATTTGGTTTTCCACACCCAAGTGCATTTTTCTAATATGTCATAATGTTCCTATAGGGTTATAACTATTAGTATTAGGAAGTATCACATAAGTATAGATTTTATTGAAGACGAACTGTACAGAGGAACTGGAAAGCAAATTCATTTTTTAAATTTTTATTTTATTGAAGAAATATCTCAGACTAAAGAGATTTGTTTTTGAACATGATTCTCCCATGAGCACTCAACAGAAATGTTTCATAGTTCACAGTTGGAGAGATTTACAATGATGGCAGCTCCTGAACGTTACTAATTTACTGACCTGAATGTGTCTTAATGACATGATGAAATGACTTTAAGTTTTTAGTCTCTTCTGATGCAACATGGTCACATTTGTAGAGCGTCTGTGTTGAGTGTGAACAAAGCTCACGAGCATCATACTCTGCTCTGCATTGTTTCAATCTGACCTATGAAGCAAACTTTGTTATTCTCTCTCTGCATATTAACAATTTACAGTTTTATGTTGTATGTACACCTTAGTAAAAAGAAATTCAGACACATGCCATCATACAACATATTGCAACTGGACCATGAATGTACAGTATGGTGACCTCTGTAGACAGACAAAGGTCAAACACATGCAGAGCCTCGTCTCTGTGACCACACTCACTGTGATGCTTTAGGAAGTGTTAATCCTTGGCACACAAAGACGGAAGCAGACTCAGGTTGTGTCTTTAGGGTTTTTTTGAGTGATGTAACACACACACAGTTCCACACAGACACACTTGCCGTGGGTGTAGACTCTATAGCACTAACATCTGTCTGTCATTAGGCAAAGACAAACAGACACATTCTGGTGAGCCTGAAGCTCGTTCACTACAGGGTAAGGCAAGATCACTGTTACCTTGCCCCACAACATACCCACAACTGGACATACTGACACTCACGTGTCACAATACCAGAAATTCGTTGGGGCCAGTACCTTTGAAATTCCATGACTCTTACACAAATGTCCCCAACAGTCATTTTGGGGCCACAGACGCTCGCACTGACTCTGACAGACTTTGATGCACAGCAGGACTGAACTTTTCTGCCCAGGGGGTCTAGCAGCCCAAAGAGATTTAGCTGGAGGCCCCTGGGGCAGCAGATTCTACCACTCATCTTTTTGACCGAGACACGCAACATCATGGATTGTCACCTTGACATCGCCAGATAGTCCAGGAGATTGGAACCTGGCCCAAGGCTCCACGTAAAGCTGGAGCAGTCTGAATTTGCTGTTTGGCTGGTTTTAGCTCTGACTGTCCATCGCCAACTGCATTTACCAGTGAGTTTTAAATATATCTTTGGTATAAATATATTATCTTCTTCATTTCCATCCATCCGTTATTTGTACCACTTGTCTTTTTTATACTACCAGAAAAGTGTAAAATATGGAACTCTTAATATTGTATCTAGTCGAGCAGTGTTATCATTTTTCATGAAACCATAGCTTTTTGCATGAGTGATCCTGTCCACATGGGTCCTATGTGTACTTGGAGTGTATGGTGACTGTGTGTGTGTGTGTGTGTGTGTGTGTGTGTGTGTGTGTGTACGTACGTGTGTACAAGTATATAAATCCATGTAGTGTCACTTCCGGTTAGACGTTGCATCCGTCTCCGGCAGCAACAACAGATGGACGCCACTCTAACAACCATCGTTCATCATCACCATAGTGACAGTTCCACAAACACACACATACACACAGTGTCTGTGTAGTTGCTGGGTTGTCACTGACACAACCTCGACGGCATGCTAGATTAAGGTTTTTGGTTGATGGACCATTCATATGCACACACACATACACACATATCTGTACACTGACAGATTATGTGCAGCTTTTGCAAATTAATAAAGTTCTACACAGAGTGGGAAAGATGACAATGAATCGTAGGTAGAATGATTGAAGAGCGGAACCACTGACATTTAACAGGGTGGTCATATTTTATTTTGCACAATTTTTAATATAGATTAGAAATATGTATTAAATCCACGTTCTAGCTGGATTCCCACAAAAAAGGGGGCTTAATTGTGAAACAGTGTTGTATGATCACATAAAGAGATCGGGATATCAGCCAATTCTGTCTTCTAACTTGTCAAACTAAAAAAATTCAGCCATCAAAGTGATGATTCACATAGTTCAAACTACATTTATCAATACTGACAAATCCCACCTGGAACACTGAAGGCAAATGCAGTGCACAGTTTAATTAAATCTGCTTTCTAGTCCGGTGTCTATCAGTTGTACTTCATCTCAACATGTTTACAGCAGAGCCCCCTGCCAGTGGCTACAGATCAGTTGCACTGCTACAACTCAGGGTGTAGTTCCAGCTCAAAGGCACCCTGCAGCAGGTGTCATGGAATAATAACAATGTTGCTTATCCACCCTCCTGCAGCTTTTTCCACACTTGGGATTTAAACTCAGGATCTCGCTATTGGAAATGTCCACCTCATCTCCTCCATGAGATGAGGTTTCTCTTTCTTTAATCCCTTTTATGGTGAGAGATTTGTGATGGATCTCTCTTTCTCTTACCATTTTGTATAATTCTTTTCAATCAGTTTTGTTCTCTCTGTCTCATTTTGCTTTTCTCTTTCCCATTCTCTCTAGGTTGTCAACCTTTTTCCTTTGTGTTTTTCACATTGGCCTTTTACATTGTATTTGGCAGGTTTTCACACCTCTGTCCATTTTTAGTATACTGTAAGAGCATGTGTGAGTCAGTGTGCGAGCTTGTGTTGGTATTTGTGCCTGTGGTGTGTGTGTGTGTGTGTGTGT